GCAAGAGTAATTTGCACATAGATGCTTCCAGTAATTGCATGGTTGTCACAGAGACTACACAGTTGGTCAAATTTGTGGAACAATATTCAATTTGCCAGGAGACCAATTGTCAAGGTAAACTGAAAGTAAACTCGATAGAACTGGCTGGCCTGGGGGGAGCAGCATCACTCTCTTTTGGCTGTACTAACTGTGGTAGCTGCAATGTCAAATTTGAAACCTCATCTCAGAGGGAGAATGGTGATGCTGCTGTATCTAAGATTTTACAAGTTGCTACAATTTGTTCTGGAGCATCTTGTGCCATATATAAGAAAATGTTTCACCACATCCTTGGAATGCATACAGTCAGCGACAGTGTTTTTTTTGGGACACTAAAAGAGATGTATGACCATGTGAAGGACATTTTAGATGGCATTTGCTTGGAAGCCAGAAAGGAAATGCAAGATATGGATCAGGAAAAATTAGGGAGCTGGCAGAGGGCTGTAACCTGTGGCGATGCTGTTTGGTTGACTAGAGGCAGTTTTAGCCGAAACTGCACATACACTGTCAGAAATTACTTGACTGGAGCTCTTTTGTATTATTGTCACATTTGTCAAAAGGGAAGTGACAATTTGTGTCAAGATGACATATATGAAGGTACATCAAAAGCAGCAGAAGGTTTCAGTGCTAACGAGGTATTCAAGCTCATGGTCAAGGATCAAATGAATGTGGAATGCCACATTCAAGACGGAGACAGCACATCTGAGAATGTTGTCTTGAAACATTTTCCACTTTGTCGGGTATTGCGGTGTGGCAATCATGTGGCGAAGAATCATGCTATAAAGTTAGACAAATTGCGTAAATTAAAAGAAATGACAACTAATAATGTTGTTAGAGTAGAATGCTACTGCAAGGGGAAAAAGCATGCGAAGCATTGTGGTTGCCTCACTGAGAAGTTCATTAGAAAAGCCAAAGCCTCATTTCAGATGTGCCTTACGAATGCTGGCACAGACCCCAATGCTTTCTCAGAGAAGTTAATGAACTTGGCATTGCACCACTTTCAGGATGAACACCAATGGGATGGTGGCCAGTGTGATTTTCACCCATTAGTAGTGTGTAGCTGTGGTTCTTGTACAGATAAATACAATTTAAAATGCCAAGGAAAACCTTACAAAAGTGACCAAGTTTTGAAGTGTCCTTTTCATACCCTAGCTTACAAGTTAGAGTGTCAAGAAAAGGCAGGTCTGGCTGATGTATTGATACATCCTGAAATAGGTAAAGTCACAACAAACCCTGTTGAAGCTTCGCACAATGTGCTTGTTAGGTATAGGTCCAAAAATTGGAACCTTGCACGTCTTCACTACCACGTTTCTACCAACATAGGTCTCATTCAAGGTTGCATGACCTATCTTTTTACAAAACGTGGTCCTCAGTACCACTGGATTCTTGACATCCTTGAGCGGATGTGCCTTCCTGTTGTTCAGAATCTTCCATCTATCTTGGAGAAGCTGAATGCAGATAGATTTTTGATATAAAAGGCAAGAAGACCAATGTTGCTAAAGCAAGGAGGAAGCTATATAAGAGAAAGCGTAAAGTCTTTGAACATCAACGCAGGCAATTGTTTGTAAAAGAGAGTGCAATGAATCACGATTATGGAAGGGATGCATCTACTGAAGAAGTAATTGCAGATGCCTCGACTGACAAATGCAAATGTGGCTCAACAGACCACAGAAGGACGTCCCACAAGAGTTGTCCACTGAGGAGAACCTGTGATACTGCTACTGGAATTGATACCTCCTGTGACATCAATGCATCCAAAAGTGATGACAATG